AAAAAAAAAAAAAAAAAAAAAAAAAAAAAATGTTCTTAGTTCCTGAACTTACATGGGAGTCTATGACACAGATTCCAAGGGAATGTACAAAATTAATTCTTCTAAATCTTTAACAGAATGTGAACAAAATTTCTTGTAAAAATTTCATGTAAAAGCACATATATGCACACACACATAAACACACATACACAGTGTGTGCTGTCTTATTAAATTCTTGGGTTTGCTCTATGAAATGATTACCACCCCCTCCATATTAAATGTGTAAAATTCATTAAATACAAAGGGGAAAAAAATTTTAAAAAAAGCAAATTAGTAATGCATATTCTACATATACCAATATCAAGAGATTTGTTATTAAAGTTGTAACAATAAAATATATTAGTAATATTAATAACTGGTATATCGATGTTAGTTAATATTTATATTACTGTAGTTATGAGTTATATTATTATAATGAAGAGTGTCTTCTCTCTCTCACCTGTCTCCCTATTTTTTTAGACAAGGTCTTACCCTGTAGAGCACAGGTTGCTCTTGAGTAGATAAGAAGCAGATTTAACTAACAGGGAGAGGGATGGTTTAGAATACAGGATGGTCCCTCAGAGAAATAAGAGGCTAAGGCTTATAAATTACTTTCCCCAGCTACATTCAGCTGCAGAGATACAGAAAGGAGAAGAAAAGTTGGATTTCAGATGGGTGGTTGCCAAAGGATAAACTGTCAGAAAAAAGCAGAATGCTGACAGATAAGCCAGTCCATAATGACTACAGATGGTTAGTTTGATTACCCTAGAAAATGATAATCCAAGCTAATCTCTTCTAAAATTTTTAGGTATAGATATATGACCTAAGACTGCTATCATCATTTTTACACGATAAAATCAGACACACTTCTATTTTCCTGAGCTTTGAATACACCTATGTGTAATAGGAAACAACAGGAGGCAGTGTAAACCAGTGAAAAGAGAATGGGCTCTAAAGTCAGGCTGATCTGGATTCAAATTAAGATACCAGGTAACTTACTTAATCTATCTTCTTGAGCCTCATTTTCTTTGACTATTAAGAGATGGAATAAGGCAAACACAGAGTTCATGAGCTAACTTGTTTGATAAAGAACTAAATCATATGAACACACGATTAAAGACTGTTTTGTTATTTAAATAGGCCACAGTGTAGCAAGCTTGCTATTAGCACACAGATTGTCCTTAGCTATTAGAAACAAGCCAAAGCAGGCTTTTAAGTATCTTTATAACATTATCTACACATTAAAAAAAAAATCCAATTATTTCATAAAATGTAAACCCATCCCCAAGTCTTGGTGTGCAAGCTTCTCTGGGTGGCTCTTATATGCTCTGCCCCAAGAGCTACCCTGGTCACCGGTGCCACCTTGTGGTCACCATCTTCAACTAGCAGACTCTTTAACCCACTTCGCCCTACCCTTTGGGAGTCAAACATACCAAGAGGGGTCCTGCAGAAGGATCTTGAGGAGAGTAGCTTCCAGGATAGTCATCATCCTCCTCCTCTTGTATTTGCTGAAAAGTTCGCTTCAGAGATTTCTTCTCCTCTGTCGCTAGAGGAAAGCAAATTGATAAATTTGAGTCATATATCCCACATTTAAAGAGTCAAAGGCTACACACAATGGGACACATGTAAAAACAGCAGAGAGGTGGGTGTTCATTTTCAGAGATGATCTAACATTAATCTTTATGCCCATTATTTTAATCAGTTTTAGTTCCTTACATTACTGAAGAGTCAAAAAGGAGTTGGTCTGTCATCTCAAACTTACTCTGGAAAAACACTACTGAAAATAACCATCTAAAAGTGAAACATACTGAGTTATCATACTTAATTAAAAACAGTATATCTTTAAAGAAAAAAATCATAGGAGAAATAAAATGGAAAGAAATCCATTAGACAATATAATGAAGTAAGCCAATAGGTACAAGGGTTTATTGAGAACACATTACACACAAAACTACATATTTTATGCTTTCCAAGGATCAGTTCAGAAAATAGGTGAGAGAACTAATCAATAATGTGTTCCAGATCCTACTGTACAAATATCTTTTAAACTATTCCTTTAAAAATAAAAAAATTAATTATACCTTTAAGTAAAAAATAGCCATTACTGAAAAATTTGATTGATACTAATGGGAGAAATTACTTGAGTTACCATTTTTAATTTAACCACTTGAGGCTCACAGGTTACCTTTTTTATTATCTGTACCTTATGTTTTATATTCTTATGACAAATGTGTTACTTCTAAAATTATTCCTATTGCATCAAATTGGACAATACAAAATAAATGCCAAACAACAAATAAATTTAAAGGATAGATTCCGGTTTAGAAAGTAAAGCAATACTATACACCTAATATGTGTAAGGCACTGCAACAGCCTATTTACATTTAATGTTTCCAACAATTCCAAGATGTAGTATCTCCACTTCACAGGTGAGGAAACAAAAGGCCTGGGGAAATTAAATAACTGACTTAAAGACATGCCTCCAAAACTTGTGATCTTTCCCTAAATTCAAATAATAATTTAGTACAACACAAGTGCCTTCTCATCTGTCAAAATAAAGGGGGACACCAGGCACCCTCTCTGAACTCTTGTGAGTTACACAAAGAGTAACTCATGTAGAACATACACTTTTTACTGAAATAGTTTCTTCTGGAGCCAAATATGTAGCTCTTATTTTCTACCTTAGAAATTAACTGACCAAACTACGAAGTGAAAGCCAAGTCAATAACATAAATCATATTTTCTCTTAATATTTTGTTTGTTCTACTAAAACAACACCACAAATATTGTAATACTGGTAGTATTTACTTTGTATGATTCTATTATGCATGGATTAGTTACCACCATTAAATACCAGTCCAACAACAAAGTTCAAATCTCAGTTATAATGCATACCAACTCTGTATTCTTGGATAAAGTACAAATTTTTCTAACACTTTACCCCCCCAAATTGTGATCAGTGACCAATCATATTACTTCTTCAAAGTCTGTCAGTGACAGGCTCTACACATCTGCTACTCAGTTCACACACAGGCAGCAAAAGTGTGAGAACATGCTGCTTCATTTACCAGTGCTAAGTCCACATGACAAGTATAAAAATTAATAACCGAAATAGGGAACTGGCAATCAAGATCAAAGAGCCACAAAAAAACTACAATAAAAGCTAAAGGTGGAAATGAAATTATAGTGGCACAGAAACAAAGTTATAAACAGCTTGAGTCTTGGTCATAAGAATTTAGTGAAGACTAGCGGTAGTAATGAAAAGGATGACAATGTCCTTGAGGAAGAGATGCTGACAAAAAACTTCATACCACCGCCACCTGCCTCGCAACCCCAAGGTACTGAGTTTGATCCCTGGTACCAAAAAAAAAAACAACTTCAGACCAAAGGAACACTGAGAGCATTTTACAATGCTGAGAGCACCAAGGATAGAGTGTTGGTAGTGGAGTCATCCACTAAGGCCTAGAAAAGATGATTGCTCTGTATCATGAGCTAGAGTAACTAGAAGGCAAGCACTGTTCTTTGACAAGTTTGCTACAAAGTAAACACTTTAATCCTTAATGTTTCTAGTTTTTTATTACATAAACTGTCTTACTGTTTTGTATTTCCCTACATATTGGTAAACAATACTGAGTTTTCAACTCTGACAGAAAGATCACAAAACAAGTGTAATTTTCTCCACTGATTCTTAAGTTCAGTTTGTATAGTTTCAGTTTGCATAGTCATTTTTAGTCTTACATTATCAGGCAAAGCAAGGGTTGTTGTATTTTTTAAATGGAAAATGTATTAGGGTATAATTCCACATGAAATACCTAATAGTACTTTGCACACAGTAGCTGCTTAGTTAATGTTCTAGCCTGTAGTATTATCCACATAAACATCAGCCACTATAACATCAAAGTGGACACAGAGAAAAAGTGGTCATTAGAATGTGAACAAAGATCAAAAATAAAATTTATATTGTTTTGTTTGCCCAAGGACAGAGGAGTGCTCAATAAATTGCCAAATACAGTAAATTATAACTGGAAATCCTTCAGTTTAGAAACTCTCAAAGAAATTATTACACGTAGATAAAAAACAAACCACTTGGGCTGGGGATTCAGCTCAGTGGTTCCAGCACCTGCCTTGCAAGCGGCAAGGGCCCGAGTTTGATCCCCGGAAAAAAAAAAAAAAAATCAAACTACTCACCACCTCAGGACCTTATGGCTCACTAAATTCGGGCAATGGAAAGCCTTAGATCAGCCTTTGCTTTCCCCAGCTTCAACAATAAAGGTTTACAGATTGTGGTTTGTCTAAAGCCAGGGAGCTTGTTAGTTTAAACCTGGGTCCACAAGCCAAAGCCTCTGCTTCCTAATCAGGGGCTCTTGTTATCACTTCATATTGCCACTCACCCACAGCACAAGACGCAAATCAAACTGAAAAACATAATTTTAGGGCCATTTTTGTTCTCTGCTGTCCTGATGAAAGAAGATATAACAGGAGGTGTAAACCATTATCAGCATACTTTTCCAGTTTACTCCTATTTTCAACCAGAGAACCCACTGGAGATACAAATCTAAGGTTGGTGAAGTTATTCATCCTTTCCCCATAAGGGCTCCTATTCTGAGCTACCTATTTCCAGTATGAAAACATCTACTAGCCCCATCTTCAAAGTACAAAGCCTTGGAGACCACCAGAATCTATCCCAAAGTTCCAACTTCTAGCAGATGCCACACCACTGGGCGATGTCTTACAATCTCTCCTGGCCCTTTTCCATACATGGCCTCTCACTGGCCCTTTATCACACCTTGTGCCGAATGCCTCACCTTAGTCTCCCTGCCTCTAGCTGCTTTGTCCAATTTAGATATGGCCTATTATAATTATTCTGAAGTTCCTAAAGCTGGGCTGACTGGCACACAGGGATTGAATACTTTCCTCCTGAGTTCTAGCCCACCAATGGCAGCATCATTTGAGTACCCCTCCAAACCCACTGCCCTTGGACCTTGGTAAGCCTGCTGGCAAGCCTTCCTCTATAGGAGGAAGTATCACATTCCTTTACCTCCCAACAGTATCTAGGAAAGGGTTAACAGACCAGCGTGGGCAACCTCCTGAAGGGAGAGGAGTCATGAGACTTGGAAAATGCTTGTGCTATGCCAAAAATGATATCATTACTACAAAGCTGGCAGTGATTAGGCCCAGAATTCTCAACTGGGTTAGACAGCCCTTAAAAATAACCTAGCAAATCTATCAGTTACATTCCATATTGGAATTAATTTGCTTGTTTGTTATTTGTAGTGCTTGGGATCAAACCCACTGTCTTGTGCATGCTAGAAAAGTGCCTCACCACTGACCTACACCACGCCCCTAGCACTTTCCATTTTTTTTTTTTTTTTAATTTTGAAAAAAGATCTTGCTAAGTTGCCCAGGTTGGCCTTAATTTAGCTTAATTAACTAACTTGCGACTCCTACCTCAGCCTCCCAAGTAGCTGGGATTAAAAGCATATACCACCACATCTGACCTATTACGTATTTAAAATTCTTTAATCTTTTTGGTGGTGCTAGGGATCAAACCCAGGGCTTCATGCATGGTAGGCAAGTACTCCACCACCTAGCTCCACCCTCAACTCCCTACATTGAAATGTAATGCAAATTTTCCACTATTAATTCTGACCACGGTAATTATGCTTCCTTTTTTTTTTTTACTCACTCAAGCACTGTTTCCAGGCAGGTGAAATCCTGCCAAGTGGTCAATGCACTTTGCCTTCGTATTCTTCAGCTTCTTTACCATCTTCTAATTTGTCCCTGTGTATCCAGGAGGCCTTGCATTCTGATGAGGTTGGGTATGGTACATCTCTCACAGACCTTGTGGTAGCAATTCCAATGTCATGGCACGCCATGAAACTAATCTTAAGGCAAAAAAGTGGCCTGAAGTCTCTCAAATCACATCACAAAACACAGCTATCTACCCACAAATCTGAATTTTCTACAAAATACACTTGAAATTTTCTGGGGTTTAAAAACACAAACAAGGGCCAGGGATTTAGCTTAGTAGTTCTCATGCCTGCTTTGCAAGTGCAAAGACCCGAGTTTGATCCACAGTCCCAGAAAAAAAACAAGCACTTCATATTTTATATCACTTTAGAAAAATAATCAGGTAATATTGCTGGCAACAATTCCTTCATTCTTTGTCTTCTCCTTGCAAAACAAAGGAAAGTTTTTTAAAAGCACATTGAATTTTACTTCTGGGAAGAAAAGAGGCTGCAACAAAGAAAGGGCTAATACTTGAGGGATAGTTTTAAAAAGCAATCAGCCTTCATCATCTGAGCAATTAAATCCATACTGGAACCTAGGTAACTGGACCAAGAGCTCATGCTCTTAATGACCATGCTCTCCAGCCTTGCACAAAATCCAGGTTACTGAAAATACTAAGTCTGCTCCTACTTGTGCACATATATGGAAACTCCAAATATTAAATATTAGAATTGAGGCAAATAAAAATTTTATCATCACCCCACTGATAATTGCAGCATTATGTCAAATAATCCTTATCACAACTCTATGAGGTATTACTACTATTAACAGCCACATTATACAGTGAAGACCTGAGGCCCAAAAGGTCAAATATGGAGCACAAGGTCACACAGCTTTAGGTGACACAGCTGGGATTCATAGGAAATGTGAATGTCTAAACTTTACTGAGGTTCATGCAAAGTAGGACACCTGCACATGAATTCATACTATAATTCAAATCCATTAAATCTATGTGCTTTCAGGAAAAAGTACAGGGCAAAGAACATCAGCCTCAAAGTCATGTAAACCTGAGTGTGAAAGCTCCACTCATTAACTATATCTCCTTAGACAAAAATTACTAAACCTGACTGGGGATTTAGCTCAGTGGCACTGTACCTGCCTCGCAAGGGCAAGATCCTGAGTTAGATCCCCAGTTTAAAAAAAAAAAAAAAAAAAGTTACTATACCTTTTTGAGCCTTCCCATCCTCCTTGACATAAAATACTGAATTCAAATAGTAATGATAAATGGGCCAGGGATTTAGCTCGGTGGTGCCACCACCTGACTTGCAAATGTAAGGACCCGAGTTTGATCCCCAGTATCAAAAAAAAAAAAAGGGTAATGGTAAAGATATAAAATAATACAGAGGCAGGTAGCAGAGAAGTGAGGACGTAACTGGTACTCAATAAATGCTGGTTCCTATGTAATTATTTTTCCTTTCTAAATCCTTCCATAACTGCCTAATACCATGTGATTCATTAACATTGAAGCAAATAATAAATTTCCATTTAATCAAGCAACAGCTTTAGTATTCCCCAAGAACAGGGTGGCAACTTTAGAATACCCAGGCTTTATACTTGGTGAGACAGGTATATAAAGACAGCTATAGTTTTAAAACAAATTCATGAGCTTATACATGCTCCCGTGTTACAAGAACTGTCAAAGTTTTACAGGGAAAATTTTTATTTCAAAGATACACTCTATGAAATTGCTTGAAGTTAAAGAATTAGCTAGAAATCAAAGCTAGAATATAAATGACTATTTGAACTTGAGAATAATTTCTTAGAGAACTCATCATCAGTATTTTGAAAGGACTGTAGTAAAGTATTCTAGAACTCAGGTCCAGAGAAGACCATGGGAAGACAGTGATCTGAGACCAATACACAAGCTGGAACCTTTTGATATGTTTTCATCTTAAAGAAAAGAAAAAAAATAAACTATCTTTATATTAACATTATCCTCCATAGATTCTGCCTCATCTATCTAGACCCTCAAAAAAAAAATTTGGAAACCCAACAGAACTATTTTCAATACTGCCGCAAATACCTTTATTTGTGTGACAGCTCCCTGAGTGCAGACCTATTTCTCATTCCTTTCTTGCTCTTTCCTACTGCATTTAACTTAGCTCTCTACTCAAAGCACACATCCAGTAAATGCTTGAATTGAAATTCAACACTGGCTTCAAGCATCCTTTTTCAGAGTTCACCTGTTTACCCAAAGGTGCTTGTAAAAATCAGCACTGTTTACTAAATGAACTGTAAGGCAGAGTGCAGAAAAGAATGCTGGATAATTCCCCAAAGCTGTACAGAAAAAACACCTCCAAAGGACACAATACCAACACTACCAGAATCCAAAGTAGGAAACACCTTGTTTTTCAGATGCTACCACCAGAATGACCCTAGGATTATTTTCTAACTCCAAGTAAAACAACAATGACCTACAGTCCAAAAGCACTTATATGGTTTTTAGAAAGCCTCTAACCTTCAGTTTCACAGGAATATTACTGCAAAATGCATGTAATTTTAGACCTGGAAGAGATCATGAAAGGTACACAATAAAACATTGCTGAATTAATAATGATACAACTGATAAGGTCTATAGCAGAGGTATAAACACAGTACTAACGAACAAGGAAAGAATGATTCTATGTGCCCCGAGAAGCAAGGAGACTGAGAGAGCAAGAGCAGCCCTCTTGCAGAGCGCATTCACACAACAAAAGGGGAAGAAGGACAACTCAGGCAGAGGTAAGAGCAAATGCAGAGGAAGGGGTACCCACAGAGCATCAGGGGGCCTGGCAAAAGAAGAGGCTGTCTGTAAGGAAACGGCAGAAGAATCTAGAAAACTAGGCTATTTTCAAATTAGAGAAGGGTTTCAGTACTACTAGCCCTTGGATTTGATCCTCCAGGTAATGAGTATATAGCAGTCAGATCAGGTCTATAGCTTAGAAACATATGCCAACTAAAATTAGATCACAACTAACCAGAAGTCAAATGGTCAAATAACATTCTTTAGAGGAAAAAATTAAAAGCTCTTACGAAAAACTTGGTAAAATTCATATATATACTCATAACTCCCAAGAGCTCCTGGGCCCAGTAAATCAAAATAAATTTTAGAAAACAATATGACAATCATAACAAGAATATGTTCCAAGACCACAATGGTATTTAATGAAACCAAATTCTAGAAGGGCTGAAAGGTTTATCTAAGATCTGTAGTGGTTAATGGTAGGACTAGGACAAAATTTTAATACAAGGTACTTCTGAGTTAACCACAATGCTGAAGAACTTTGTTGTTCCTTCCCTTGTGCGAGAAAGTCTTTCAAAGACACAAAAGAGCTGAGGAGAACACACAGCAAAAGTTAGGGAGAGAGAGAATGAACAGCATGAGTACTAGAACCAGGCTCGCACACCACGAGCACTACATAAATTCTCACCATCATTCATGATCATCTTTCTCTGAAGAATCATAAAATTGCTCGTGGTTCACAGCAACCCCCACTGCAGCTTTTCATATTTGATTCGAAAGTAGGCAAAGACCAAGAGCTGTAAACATGTGGTGATGTTTCTACCTTTGGGGGGAGGGCTCTTGGAGTCCTCCATAGACAGCTTCAGCTGCTGTATGAACTCGCCGCCATACACACTTCTTTCTTGCCAGATGTTCAGCAATCTTTCTAAAGGTTTTTTACAGCCTTCATCTGCCTCTCTGCCCAGAAAAGATGAAAAGATATATGTAAGCTTAAGATCTTTTGTTTTTAATTAGGACAGATCTACTTAAAAAAAAAAGTCACTACATAAATTCTCACCATCATTCATGATCATCTTTCTCTGAAGAATCATAAAATTGCTCGTGGTTCACAGCAACCCCCACTGCAGCTTTTCATATTTGATTCGAAAGTAGGCAAAGACCAAGAGCTGTAAACATGTGGTGATGTTTCTACCTTTGGGGGGAGGGCTCTTGGAGTCCTCCATAGACAGCTTCAGCTGCTGTATGAACTCGCCGCCATACACACTTCTTTCTTGCCAGATGTTCAGCAATCTTTCTAAAGGTTTTTTACAGCCTTCATCTGCCTCTCTGCCCAGAAAAGATGAAAAGATATATGTAAGCTTAAGATCTTTTGTTTTTAATTAGGACAGATCTATTAAAAAAAAAAAAAGAAATCAACAACTGGCTAAATTATCTGCATATTTAAAAACGGAAGGAAAAGTAAGGCACATATCTTGTTACTTGGATATCCCAAACTTGACCAGAAACTGCCCTTTCCTTTGATGGATGGGGAAGACAAAGGAATAATACAGAATAAAAAAATTTTCCCTTTGAAAGATGAGGCAAATAGTGGAAAAAGCCAATGGCTAATTTTTTACAGATAGAGAATAATCCAAAGTTGATCATATTAACTGTTGACATCTTGATCTTTAGGAAGATCTTAGTTGAAATGTAGTGCCAGATATTCTACTGAAAATTAAAGTGAGTCAAAACTTTTAAGAATTAAAAAGATTAAAAAAAACAAATGTTTAAAATGGTAAATTCATCACACTAACACACCAACACCTCTATATGCATAAATACAATTGTACATGTATATACCAAGACTGATCTCCTCTTATTTTATCACTGGCTAAATCTGTTCCATGTTCACACAAAGGTGTCTAGCTTATATCCTAGAACACAATGAGAATAACGCAGTTCTTCTGTAATTTATATCTGAAAGAAGCTTGATAATTTTTTTCCTGTCATGGACTATGATCAGCACTCAGTGTACCTCAATTCATACTATAAAACATCAGACAGCAAATAGAAGAGTGGGAGACTTTCTGAACAGAAACCAAATTTACTCACCACCCACTGTGTTCCTGTGAATCGTTCTGCTTAGTGAGGCTGTGAGGATGTCAATAATCTTATATTGAGCAACTTTAACCAAGAAAGAATACCTCAACATCTTAGGACCCAAGTTAACTATTTTTAATAGGAATTTCAAGAAAACACACCAAATTCAACCAGATGGGAATTCTATAATATCTTCAATTGTGATAGCACTTTGAGTAAAGTTTATGCTAACAGTCAGTGTGAAAGAAGGTTTCAGGTTGGCCTGGCCAGATTGTGTTATTTATGAATTATTAGTGTCATATTTCACTAAACTGGGATCAAAGGACTAAATCAACAAAAATAAAAATTTATTCTTTTTTATCAAACTTTTTATTTTTCAAGTCAGAATGAGGGTTAGGGGAAAAAAAGAAACTCTTCTATATAAATAGTTATACTTACAGGGTTCAAATATATGACCTAATTAACTATATAACTCTTTACTCCATTTTCAAAATGAGTTCTTCTCACCCCTTCCTCTGCTATTTTAACCAAGCCCAAGTTACTACCATCTCCTTATTGGATTACAATTTCATTGCGGGGCTCCTGCTTTTGCTCTAGTCTGTCTATACCTACTCTCAAGTTCTAATAATTCTACCTGCTGTGTTGAGCAGATCATTATTTCTTCCTATTAAAAGTGAAAGTCCATATAAAGCCTGAGGCCTTTTTCAACCCAGCCCACTGAACTTGGGCTTTATATCCTACTCACAGTTTCTCTCCCACTTAAATTTGCTTTGCTCCTGCTGGCCACTTGGCTCATCTTGCTCCTCCTTCAAGTGTATGCTTACTCGCAAACCACCTTTTCAGTCCTTTCCTAATCTCCACACTGCACATACTACACAATTTACTTGTTCACACTCTTTCCATTTGAATGTATTTCCATGAAGGCAGGGATTAACTTTTCTTTTACTGCTAGATGACCTAGAATGAGCATAAGTGATTTGTTCAATTCTCATTTTTGAAAACTTTTACATAGCCATACAGTTAATAAGCTTTCAACAATCACCTTTCTGCATTAAGGTCATGCATGTAAGAAATCAACTAAGTGTTTACCGGCTCAATCAATATAGGTTTATGGAATACTACACTTGAAACACAAAGAATAAGGCCTATTCCCTAACCTCTTGGACTTGAACCCAATAGCCCCTCAGGTCTCTTCAACCCTTTCTGGGAGTTCACATTCTAGCAATACCCAATCATGCATATATTCCAATTAGAACTTGTTCTTTCCCATTTATCTGTGTTTGCTCATGCTATTGCCTCTATTATGAATGGAAACCTCAAAATGGAACAAGACAAAGAAAAAGAAGTTGTAATCGAGGTAGCTGAAATATGTAAGGTATATACAGAAACAGCAGAAGAATCTGGAAGGACAAAATGGAATCAGATTAGAGAAGTCCAGGATACCATACTAAGCATGTGGTTTGCGGGCAGTGTGAAGCCCCTGTTGCATCAAATGTATGAGTTAGAAAAATAAAGTGATATCTAATGTAGCCAAATCACAACTAATCAGAACTTAATTGACTGGATGGTACTTTTAACATAACATCTGTTCTCTGAAGAGCCTCTTCTCTTAAAAGAAAAAGAAACCTATCATCAGAACAAACTTATCAAGACTGGGGGGTGGCATGATACCCACCCAACCATATCCATCATTCTTTGGGGCGTTTGGAACTCCAGATGAGACTGGTTTCCAATAGTTTCAGTCACATTACTAATCAGTGGACAATACTGCTCAATCTTGTTAGAACCTCAGAACATCTTCAAATATTTTTCACCACTGAAGGCTAAAGTCAAAAGAGGGCTCTAATTTAATTAATGAACACAACTAACTAGGATAGTTTGTTTCCTTAAACATTATAGTAAAGCAAAGTTTTGCTTAGATAATTTTCAAGTTATAGGTAATATATTCAAGAAATCTTTTTACTGATGAAGTTTACAAATAAGCTTCCATGAACTGGAAGTCACTTTAGCACCTGGAATAAGATACAGTTAAGGCAATAAAACAATTATAAAAAGGGAACTGTCTTTTCAGGTTGCACTAACTTCATTTAACATGGAAATCTTTAAATGAAGAAACACTGGAAACTCTGTCATCAATCTTTGATAAACTGGAAGATGATAATTACCTACCCAATTATTATGTCAAACACTTCATTTGCATGTCAATTCTGATTAAACTCACTTTTCTAATACAGATGGCAAAAATGACCGTAAAAGAGAAGAAGTGTATTATACACACACAATCAGAATTGCTGCTTCAAGTGCTGGCTGGACATTTGAGGCCTCCCCACGTGAAGCTTGGGGGACTTTTCTTTATGTAGCTCTATGGCACTTTCTTTTTCTTTTTCTTTTCTTCTTTTTTTTTTTTGGCACTTTCTTAATATAATCATTATAATTTGTATGTCTGTATAATTTGTATGTCCTATAATAGGATCACTAAGAACAAGAATTCTAAGTATGGCCAGCACTTCCAACAACACCTCATGTAAAGCTGGAGCAGAAATAGTCCATTATAATTGTTCAGAAAATAATTAACATAGAATGCTAGAGGCCTACTACCCTTAGAAAAGCCAGATGACAAGTTGACCCTGATGACATCTAGGAACTTGGGACTGCAGGAGTACTCCCATCATCTCCTGACTGTTCAGGGGCGTTTACTTTATGTAAACTGTGCAAATAATATGGTCCCAAATGAACAACTGCTTTCTGGGAGTCTGAAATTACCACAGAGGGTGCCCTACATGACCAATCTCAACAAAAATTGGGTGCTGAGTCTCTAATAAGCTTCCTTGTTGGACTGCATTTCACACTTGATGTCACAATTCAATGCTGGAGAAATTAATTATGCTTGTGTGACTCCACTGGGAGGTAACCCTTGAAAGATTATACCTCGAGTGCTCTAGTCTTCACCACATGCTCCTTTTCCCTTTGCTAATTTTGCTTTAATAAATCTATAATAAATCATAGCTGTAAGTGTTCCTAGGAGGCCACCATATCTGGGAGTGATCTTGGAGGCCCATAGACAACAATAAATATTATATATATGATGGTAACCTCCAAATTTATGTTTCCAGAAAATAAGTTTCTTGGGGCCGGGGATTTAGCTCAGCGGTTCGGTGGCCTGCCATGCAAGCGCAAGGACCCGAGTTCAATCCCCGGTACCAAAAAAAGGAAAATAAATTTCTAAGGAGCTTAAGACTGTCTCATCCACCTGCCTATTTGGCACCACCCCCCGGAATATCTACCAGCCACCTCAAACTTAACAAAACAAAGCTCTTTTCATCCACCAAATCTTTTCCCCACTTTTCAGCTCAGTTACAGCACCATCAGCCATCCATTTACATCACAACTCATAAATCATCTTTTTCTTCTAGTCCCAGGAATCGAACTCAGAACTTTGTGCTTGTGAAGCAGGCACTACATGCCTGAGTTAAATCTCAGGACCCCATAAATTATCTTTGATTTCTCTTTTTCTTCACTATTAGTTCCCATCCAACTCCTATACATCCCATAACTTTTACATGTGGGGAAAACATCCACTACAAAGAAATCATCCAATAAAAGGGAGCTATGCTCTTACTGCTTGAACCCTAGCTGATGTCAACTGTAACCTGTACTATAGCAATACTCTTCAAACTCATGCCTCTGCTCTTCTGACCTCAGCCTCCCAAGTGCTGGGATTACAGGCATGTGCCACCACGCCCAGCATCCTACCTTTTTCTGTTTATCCTTTTCTGATCTAAAGGCAGCTAAATATTATTGATCAATTTTTAAATAAGTATTTTTAACTGCTCCTTTAGAAAATTATTTCAGTCAATTTCCTACATCTAATCTCTCCCTCCATGAGTCAGTATTAATTCAACAGATATTTACTGATTCCCTACTCCGTGCCAGAGTAGACCATACTGTCATCAGCTCCTAGGATACCATTTTCATCAGGACTAGATAAATGGTATTCCCTAAAGCTATGTAACCCAGCAACTCTATGCAAGTTCACTAGGTATCTGGCAAACAGCAAGGGATAAAAAAGAAATGGTCCTTACCTTCATGGGGTTTATAATCTAATATAGTCCAATAAATAAGAAAATAGTGTGGATCAGGCATCATACTACCTACTTTTCAACACAATAACTCAAATGAGATAGGGTGTCATCTTTTAACTAATTAGGAAAGTTGGGCTCAAAAAGTTAAGTAACATCCAAGGTCACTCACATAGTACTCAAGGCATGGCCAGTGTCTGAGAAACTGTAACCTAAATCTCATCAAAACAAAAAATCCCTGTCTCCCATTTCAGATAGCTACTCTAGTTGTCAGTTCTAAATTTACTCGATTACAAGGATTCAGTAATTGTTTTCAAGTTAATAACATAATTTGCTACTTCAGTGTGTGTATACATCAAAAGAGGAGCCAGCTATGCAGCTAACAAATTTTCCACGTCTAGAAAGGTAGACATCCATTCTGAGTTTTGGGTTTGTAATTTTTTACCTTTAAACTTTTCAAACTCTTCAGGAAAACATGAAATTCCACATTAAGGCCTTTCATTTATATCTTAGACCCTAGAAAAATTTTTGTTTAACCCACCAATGTCCTTTCACCCTTCCCAATTTCCTTTTGCAAAAACTTGTGTATTTTTATGTTTACTTAAACATAGCCTACTAAAAAAGCTATTTCTTTGCTCCTCCTGAGAACCTAACTTGCCCCTACCAAAAACTGTTGTTTTGAATAAATAAAAATGATTTATAGCACTTTTCATCCAATGTGTGCATATTCTAGTCCTTATATTAGCTGTATGTGTGTGTACTCCAGTCTTCTCTGCCACAAAGCACAGCAGTAGTAGACTTAACACAATTTGGACAGAATACCTACTTTTCCACACTATTAATTACTATTTTTGTACTTACAGTAATGTTATTATTTTTAGTAAACTAGACATCCAGAAGGAAGTAAACAAGAAGGCATAAACAATTTCCACTACTGAAAATACATTACCAGGAGGTTCCCTCATGCTACTGAACTTTGTTTTTTGATCATAAACTAATGTGACAACTCAGCCAAATAGAGGAAAAAATCACACTCAAGAAATAAATTAAAAAAATAAGGGGCAAAGATGTGCTTCCACTATTAGGCTGAATCTCATTAAGCATCAAAATGTTTATATGTCTGAGACAATTCTTAAGGGCAAAGCAAAGCATAAAACCACAATTTGGCCTCCATAAAACTCTCTGTAATAGACAAAGTCACCAACTTACAAAGGCCGTCACAAAACAGTAATGAACAAAAAAAAAGTGGGAAAGATACTAAAAACAAAAACAAAAAACAAAATAAACAACATACCTGGCAACATGAGAAAAGGCATCCACAAGAACAGATTCAAATTCTCTAGTGAATTCAGGTCCTTTCCTTTTACTGTTTTGGATCACATCATTTGCTAAGTACAGAAAAGTAAGCTTTCTATTTGATTTGGCTGAAAAAAAAAAAAAGAGGATAATTTAACTTACACTAGAGCCATTCTTAATTCACAATTCTGCCCTAGACTATTCCTAAAGAACATTAAGACAAATATTATCTGCTTGTGGTCAAGCTTTCTTTCTGTTATTTTAACCACAGTAATTGACAATAAAAATGAAGATAATCCATAGAAAATTCCTAAAGTACAAACTGACAATATTAATGTTAAAACCAAGGCTTTCGTTTATTGTATTGCAAAGATGAATATTTCTAAGGCACTCTTCACTATCAAATATTCCAGAATGAAAGATGGAGTTGAGTTTCAATTTTAAAATAGATTTTTGTAATTTATGCTACTAAACTAAGCGCTTATCTCTGGTACTCCAATAACTACAATCAGTCAATGATATCAGCTCTAAAACCCCCCAAAAACTCTAGATGCACCAAAGGATGTTTACCTCAAACACAAACATACATTAATGCTACACTGTTATTGAAAATTTACACACATCTAAAACCTAGATATACAAAATTATGGCTCTTACAAAGTACATGATTCTTCATTGTTAAATATACAAAATGTAGCATTTCCTATTACTCTGTAAGATACCATATATTAAACCATAAAAACTTCACACAATGTGCCTGAGTTACAGTTGCTTGGGGGAACGTTACTTTCATGACTTCTATGCACATAACTTCTCAACTGTTAAATTATATCACTACTATTTTTGGACTCATTTCTCTTTTAAAATAAATATGAACATAATTAGATATTTCAAAACACTAAGTCTTCTCCAATGCTAAAGTACCTGAGAAACTCAATTAAACTCTGTATCAACTTTTACACACCTGAGTTACTAGTCCTGGCTCTATGGCTCTCAGAAATCACTTCTCTATTTCTTTGGAAATGCACACAGCATGTGTAAGCTCTGACACAGCAGGCATGGGATCTGACATTTTAAAATGTAACTACAGGAGAATACGCCAATTTAAAAACAAGATTTTAAAAGCACATTACAGTTTAAACTGATGTCTTAAAATGGTCATAAAATTAAATATGGAAAGCCTGAATTGTATTGCTCTTCTGGTAATAACCTAGGGTAGATGGTGAACTGATAACAGTATCAGAAACCTGGAACTATATTTAAATTCTAATTTTTACACAAAAGCAAGAATAAACATCCATAGTCATAATACTATGCTACTGCTACAAAGATAAAACTATGACAAAAGGCATTTTTTAAAGGTACAGTAAGTAAAACAACCAAGTCTATAATATAAAGGTTAGTGGGCTCAAAAATAAATAAGAACTTGAATAAGGCAAATTTGATTATGCGGAGCTTCAGAAAGTCCATACACTTTATGTTGAAAAACAGAATTCATACTATAAAATGTCAATTTGGACATTCAAAATCTGAGATATTTTTAATTACAAATATGATACCTAACAGGATAGAGAGCGAAGATTTTCACTACTATGCCACTTAATTTTCATGGCCTCTAAACAAGAGGGGTTTACTTAGAATAAAACTTGGATCCTCTATGCTCAACATCATAAATGATCAATATAAGCACTGCATGTATAAAGCACTGAAACAGAGACAATACATGCACATATCCCCTTACTCTAAACCTGGGTGACAAACAACTTACTCAGATGACTTCCAATATGACAAAGTAAATCCTTTCACTCTCTACCTACCATTCCAAACTGGTACAACTAGTTAAGCAAAGTTTAAACAACTGGCAATTCAAAAGTTTTCACTTGTTTGGGTGGTTTTGACATCTAGAGAAAGTCTTAAAAGTAATTTTTGAGTTGGGTATGGTGACACATGCCTGTAATCCCAGCTACTCAGGAGCTGAGGTAGGAGGGTTCCACACCAGCCTGGACAAGTTAGGAAGACCTTGGTTCAAAACAATGGGGGGACAAGATGGGAATAGCTAAGTGGTAGAGAGCCCCCAAGATCAATCCTTGTACTACAAATACAAGAGTAATTTTGAGGGAAAAGTCTATATACATTCAGGCCAAAATACAATTATGCATCTAAGATCATTTAAGAGCAAAAGAGTTTGTTCACCAAACTATTCCATAAAGAAGGGAGAAACTGTACTTCAAAAGAACCTAAAGGAGTAAATTACTTAGAAAATGGAAAAAAAGCAATTAGGGGCAGAAGAAAGTAGTATTTAAATCAGAAAAAGTAACTCCTATATATCTCACAAGTATTTTGATAGTAACTCTGAATATCTTAGGGAAAATGACTTCATAATAGATACATGTACCTACTTTTAAAAACTCAAGGTGTTCTAGAAACTAAGGGGCTAGGCAATTTGAACATTAAGGCACAAAATCCTTTTCCACTATAATGTGGGGGCATCTTCAACTCATGAAGGAAGCCTGGAAAATAGAGGACAATGCATTTTGATGTTTGAAAAAGAATTCTAGTTCTACAGGATTCAAAATGGTAGCCACCAGTCCCATATGGCTATTGAACACTTGATTTGTGGATAGTAAAACTTGAATTGAAATTTCATTGTATGTATTTAAAACTTTAGTTTCTTAATCACACATTTTAAGTGCTCAAAAGCTACATGTGGCACCTTGTTGGAAAGCACAGATATAAAATACTGAAACTGTCATAAAAAGTTGGTATTAAGCAGTGCTGTTTAGATCCTTTACTCAAGCATGAAAATGATATCAGAGGCCACAATTTCATTCCTAAACTTTTTAAACTGTAACAGGCACTATGTTAAATGCAGGTTGAATAACAGAAAAACCAGATCAAATGTCTCCCTCACACATTCTAGTGAAAAAGAAACAACTAAAAAAAGTACAAAGTAAGTGCTAAATTAGAATGATGCAGTGGTAGGCAGTAACTAATTCTTCTAAACAAAAGCATGATGGGCTTGTTCAGGATCAGCCGACCAGTGTGATCTAAGTGCCTTGAGGCACTGGATCCTTGAAAAAGCACAAGTTTGGGCCATCAATCACCCCTGAGCTCATGTCCCTGTATATGCCCTCACTTATTCTCTACCTTTATCTTCTTATCTATAAAAATGGAGATAGTATCAGCCTACTTACAACACAAGGCTTTATCATATGGAATTAGGGATAAGAAGCTTCACTAATGAATGTACTCTATTACAGTGACACCTTGGTTGTCCAATTCATTCCAAATTCATGATTGAACACCAAAAAGTTCAAGAATTGAACATATTTTTCCCATAAGAAAAAAATGGAAAAACAAATAATTATCAAGGCCCAAAAACTACACTTAAAATTTATTTTCCCAGGACTAATACATTTCACAATAGTTCTCATAGTTTTCTTCTTAGCTTTACTGCTGGTATCACTAACTTTCTTTGGAACTATAGTTACATTTTATGCAAATAAAGCATCAAAAAAAGAAAAAGCACAATGATGAATGTTTCAATGTACTAACACAAGCACTATGTTGTCTGGGTGACAGAATCACTTAGACTAAAGACTAAAGTATCAACCCTTCATGTCTCCAGCTAGACTCACTTTTGACCCATACAGGTTTTTTCAAATTGGATTTTTTATTAGACTATAAGCAAAGTTACAAACACCAAGCAGATTTTTTTCAAACTTTGCTGTTGGAGTAGTGAAAAGTTTGAGCTTGTAGCCATCTGAAAAACCAAGGTATCACTGTATTTGTCAATAACTCAGAGGTTAAAGTGAGGAGTCAAGAAGGTAAGTGACATATGAGATGGGCTTCGACAATCTCAAGATGATCAAAGAGATCCTACCAGGTAAGATTCAATTAAACAGGCAATTTGCATTTTTTTTCACACCTCAGATATGTTATGAATATCTGAATGACACAATGGGGCACATGAAGGAGGCTCTGGGAGCTCCAGGCTCAAGGGATCCCAATCTCAGTGTAGCACATCCTATTTGGGGGTTTCTGCTAGACAGCTAGAACTGGGTCTCCTGAAACAATCCTGGAGTTTGGCATCTACGAGCCCTGATGTAGTCTGAGCCTCACCAGTTCAGAGGACTTGAAGATATCACTTAGCCACTTCAGTTTTCTTATCTGTAAAATAGGGTGACATCAGAGAGAGCAGAGAACATATTTGAAGTCACTTCCTATACTATAATGGGCCTATTGCATACAGGGTGTCCAGAACAGCTTTAAGCTTTTTTTCATCCTTCTATTAAGAAACTATCAGGTTATCAGCATGTGTAGGTGCCCACCAGACTATAAGAAACTTAAAGGCAAAAACCATTCCTCACATTGATCAACAGTCCCATCTCACCAGAACCGAATGCCTACACGGTGCATGACAGCATGTTAAATGTTCACATGGATTACTATTTATTTCTCCATCACGATTTGTTTATTTGACACTCAGATTTTCTCCATCTGCAAAGTTCCTACTTCATAAAAAGCAACAACATATGTAAAGATATTAGCATTGCACCTGGTACATAAATGGTACAGTTAATATAAGTTATCATCTCATTTTTTTAAAGGAATAAGGGACTGCCAGGTTAAGTTGCTGGGGTCAGTAAGGGTCAAAGTCAGGCTTAACTTCTCGGCTGTTGGCAGAGGCAACTTGCTATTGTGTCCAACACGACACCTTGCACAAAACAGGCTAACTTCAATAAATGTCTGTCACACACTGAATAGGGCCTGAAATCAATGGTAGGTGAATTTATAAGTCTAACCTAAGGACTGAGTGCAAGTACATATACATAAAGGTCTAAGTATAGTGACTGGCAAGGAGTAAAAATCTTTGTAAGTGGCAGCTATCCTTGTGTCTGCTTTACAAATGAGAAAATATAGGCATTCGGAGATGTCATTTAGCCAGCAAGTAGCTGAGCAGGGACTCAATCTAGCCATTCTTGACTCCAGAACCCTCTGGCTTTTACTCCAAATGTCCAGCACAGGGTCTGGCGCCTAACAGTCTAGGGCCAGTATAGGTGCCGAATGCAGAAAAGACAATAGTAATCGCAAATGTCAGGAGGAACCTGAAGGGAAAACAGTTTGAAAGTCTGGGCACCTTAACCTTGATCCCCAGAACCTCAGACAAGTACCTATACCTTCACGGGTGTTTATTACTCAGAAAAATGGGAGGTAGCACCGTCTCCCATCTCAGAAGTGAGAGACTGAAATGCAAAGCTCAATTAAGAAACCATAAGGGTCTGGAAAGTGGGAGGGTTCAAAGGAGTAGGAGGAGATATTTACCTTTGCGTAGCTCGCGGTGCCACACAGAGACGATCGGTCCTGCGTGCTTGCGATGATGGATGAGCCACAGGGATAGAGTCTGCACGCTCTGCTGAGAGTTGCTCAGCTCCGAGAGCTTTTTCTCCAGCGCCGACTCGGAGAAGGAGGACATAGTGGCGGCGGAGAGGCCCGGCAAGGAGCGGCCTAGGCCGCCCAGTGTAATGCGAAAAGAGACCGCACAAGTCCCAGGCCTCACCTGACAGACTGCCGGACTCTTTACCAACTGACAGATCGCCAGGGGTGCAAGGAGGGGGAGGGGATGGGTCTCTGCAGTAACAGCCTCCCGCGTCTCCGCCACAAGATGGCCACCCGACCTCTCACCCCGCCGCGATAGCGAGGTTAAAGGGCAAGGGCCGGAGTAGCTGGGCACCAAGACGAGTCGGAGCTGTAAGAAAACGTTGCTTTGGAACCGGTGGCCTCTCTAACCCTAGCTCGGAGCACTTTGAAAAAGCGAAACAGAAAGAAAGAGCTCAGTTTCCCAGGCCCGGAAGGCGCTTTGACCGCTCCAGCCCGCACGCCGGCGCAATGAGTCTCACCGGAACTCTTTCTCCCGCTACCGCAGAACCTTTCTGGCGCGTTATGGCGCTCTGCTTAAAGCGTCACTTCCGGCGAGTTGCAGGAGGCGGGAGAGTGAGGGGAAGGCTGGAAGACGAGGTAAGAGAAGAGTATCGGGAACAAGAAGGAGCTCAGAAGCTGCGAGCCGTTAGAGGGGGATCCAAAGGGGACACTGAGCCTGAAAGATCATGACCTTGATATGGAAGGGGGCTTCCTCCCTCTCCGGGCAGGCCTCAAGCGACACTTTTCCTCCATTCGTACGTGCCCTGGTCTCCCCCCCCCCC